ACCGAGAATAACTGGCGCAAGATTGCGCGATTATATTTTGCATTATTTCGTACCATCTCATCAATAAAGCAAGCCGCTTTGGTAGTATAACGGTTAGTATAAGGCATTCACACTGCTTAGATCGGGGTTCGTTTCCCCGCCAGAGTACTTTTTGACTTTTTTATAATAGCATTTATTTTTTTCAGTTTTTCGCGCCGAAATTTTCTTTTCCAGCGCGTCTTTTTTGTCTTTTTTGTCTTTTTTTCGCCTTTTTTCCCCCCCGCCCCAGTGGGATTTGAACCCGGGTACCCAAAAGACCAAAACCGCTCGCGCCAGTCTGGACTTTTCCTGACTGGCGCGCTTGTCCCAAGTGCATCTGACTTTAAAATAAAAGAAAAGCTTTTGTTCCCGAACCGAGGCACCTCACTTGGCCCCCCTACTTCCCCATAACAGGCTGGCCGCGGGATGCAGCAATTTGACCTGCCTATGGTAACACGGATTTAACTGCTGAAGTAAATGGAGCGTGTTGGGGCAGGAGAAACTGGAGCAGGAGTCCCCTCAGGTAAACAGACTCTACCTTAACCCCCCTTAAGCAGACTTTTTCCCCCTTAACCCCCCTTACCTCCATCTACTACCCCCCTTCCCAACCCCTCCTTCTCTCTCCTAACCCTCTTCCCAACCCCTACCCCCCCTCACCAACCACCACCCACCAAACCCCCTATCCCCCCTGTCCCCCTACCCCCCCCAAATCACACCTTTATCTTTATCTTGCACCCCTCACCCCATCTACCACCCCTAGCTCCCCATGCAGATCTCCGTGAAGACCTTTACCGGCAAGCCCCTCACCCAGGAGGTGCAGCCGTCTGACTCGATCGACAACGTGAAGCAGAAGATCCAGGACAAGGAGGGCGTCGCCACAGACCAGCATTGCCTGTTCTTCTCGGACACGCAGCTGGAGGGCAGCCGCACTCTGTCGGACTACAGCATCCAGAATGCGTCCACCCTCATAGAGGCGTTTCTTGATGCGGCAACCGCCGTTGTACGCTTTGTAGAGCGCATCGGCGGTGGCGGCACGGTGGTACTCGCGATCTACCTCTAGGAGGTAGGTCGCGAGATCGGTAGACAACCTTCTTCCAAAGAGCAGCTCAAGCTGTAGCTTTAACGTCTGCGTCGCGTTGTCTGAGTCCTTGCCGCCGAAGCCGGCGTGCAGGATCTTGACACACTGGGTCTCGTTGCCCGCGTCCTTGGGCGCGGCGAGCTCAGTCGCTTCGTGCACCGCACCAAGGTATTTGGTGAGCGGCGCGAAGTCGGCGACGACGACGTGGAGGGTGATCTTCCGCAGGAGTTCCTCCAGCGTCTTGTGGATGCTGGTGGTGCTCTCTCTTTCCGAGGGGAACGCCTTGACCAGACAGTCCACGAACGTCTGCAGTGGCCAGGTGAACCACCATATGGCCGGGTCTGCAGCGAGCTGGCGCAGGCGAGCGAGATCCTCGTCGCTGCGGGCTCCATCAGGGTACTCGGGGCAGAAGTTCCTCTGCTCGGAGAGCAGGCGGAATCTGCCCGAGATCACCTTGCACGTGCTCAGTGCTATCAGCGCTGGCAGGTGCACTGTGCGCGACTCGCGTGACTCTGTCATGCACCACGTTCTAAACGAACGGGCGCTGCCACTGGTCAGCGGGTCGCTGAGATGCTTCGTGCGGCTCTGTATCATCACCGATGTTACAGGGGCCACCGAAGTTATCGAAGTCGCTGAAGTGGCTCCGCCAGACATGGCCGATCCGGGTGTCTGGGTGCGAATGAACGGGGAGTTCATAGTGAACCCCTCGTTGAACGCGGTCTTAAGGCCGACCTGCCTGACGCGTTCGGCAATGTCCGCCGACGCCTTGAGACTGCCGCGCTCGTGCTCGGCCTCAGCGAGGCGGTCTTGAAGCTCGCGCTGGCTCGTGTTGAACTCCTCGAGTTGCCGGCGCACTGCTGCACCGTGTGCGAGCATGACAGCTACGGGCTCGAGCGAGCATCCTGAGATCTGACAGATAGCGTTGTACGCTTCTTCGTCGAAGTTCTCTCTGCTCGGGCCTGCGCAGAACGCGGTCAGGTCCGTGAGCAGAGAGGCGCACCGAATCTGGTGCGCCTCGTCGCAGTCATGCATGGCCGTGAGCTCGGCGACCGTCACTGGTAAAGTAAAAGTACAGATTTTCCAGTAAGTTTTTGTACTTTAAGACTGGAATACTAAATTACTGTACTTTAAGTGTAATCCTGTACTTTAATGTTACTGTAAAGTACAGCAAAACCAGTACTATTTGACAGAGCCAGGCCCTTATGCTGCTGTACAAAGTACAGATTAACCTGTACTCCTACACCGAGAAAGGGTTATTCATGAAATCCCAAAAAGGGATTTCATGCCTGAAGAGCGACTAATGAACATGTACTTTAAGGATAAACCTGTACTCCTACACCAAGAAAGGGTTATTCATGAAATCCCAAAAAGGGATTTCATGCCTGAA